TAATTTGCCTTATGACTGGTATCTGAACTGTTTCCTTCAGCTGCTCTTCTTGGACAAGTCCACTGAAAACAGAGATGCTGCCTTCACTTTCCCAATGGTAGGATCCATACCCTATTCTCTAGCTTGGATAAATCTCCTTGTACAATGCAGGAAATTCAACTTCTTTCTGTGCCTTTAAAAATGGAAGTAATGCGAACAATATCGGGACTTCCCTAGCTGTGTTGGGTGTTCCCTCTGGAAATCTAAGTGGCCTGCTCTCTTCCTCTCCCACCCACAGACCATCAGAGCCTTCTTCAGTCCTCCTCCCACAACTCCCTGGCTTCCTCTGGCTCCCAAGAGCTATCTATCTCCAGTGCCCCCCTCCCAGTACCTTGCTGGGCAGTAGCAGAAGTCAAGTAAGCTGCAGCTAGTTTGACTCAGTGCATTTGCTCCCATTTTGTGCCCTCCAGGTTGTGCTTGGGTCAGCCACCTCCCTTGCTTTGCCCCTGACACAGCACCGCTGGTCTTCCCAGTATTTACACACTGGCTTTCATTTAAATGCATAAGCACAAAGTGCTCGTAGGAGTGGAGCCTGGGGCTGACTTGCACTTGGTCCAGCTGGAGAACTAGTGCCATTTAAGAGACTGTGGTCATTTTTCTGGTGGTTGAAGAGACAGAAGTTGAAGGGTAGTTGGTGAGATCCCCACTGGTCAGTGCCAATACCCTGGCAAGCATCCTGGCAGCACAGTATAACTTTGTCCTTAGAGGATTCCCTTTGATTTTTCCATGGATGCGTAAGGATAAAGCCAGGACTCAGTTTACCAGTAAGTCTGGCTCCAGAAATCTCACTGAAGATTTTTTTTTAGGGGTGGTGGGGGTGGTGGGTGTTGGATTCAAGCATCACCAGCTCTTGAGACCACAAAAGGCACTCAGCCTTGCGGGTGCCTCCTGTGCACTTACAAAAGGCGAGCTCCTCCTCCTGAACGTGGAAGGTGTTTCGAGGGATAACGTACGGAGTATGTGAGCTCCCAGTGAGGAGGCTACGTGGCAAAGCATCATCTCTTTCTGTGGAAAGACACCTGCCTACTCCAGAGGTGAGCATCATGGAAAGCTGTCTGCCTGCTTCTACAAGTGCACATGGACTGTTTCTACTGCCTCTAGTTTTCACCTGCGTTGTACCTAGGTAAGGATGAGGAGAAGGAAAAGTCAAGGCTCTTTGTGTGGATTATGTTTTGGCAGTGGGTTGCTCCAGCGAGAGAGCATTACTGATGTGATGGTGCAGGGGGAGCGGGAGGGATGGGAGCTACCTGCTCCTGGCTGGTTTCCTGCCTCTTAGGATAAATCTACAGCTTACATTTTTCTCTGCAGCCTTCATCATGCTGACACTGATGTCAGCCTGCACCGACTTGTTTTCTCACAGCAAACACAAGCGGCACTTGATGTGCATATTGTCATTTTCACAGCCCATATGGTCTTCTCAGGTTCCTCAGGTGCTTGGCAGAAAGGGGTTATTCATCAGCAGCTTAATTCATGGCTCCTTGGGGAGCCAGGGATGCTCCTCAAGGAGGGCGAGCAGCTAATCCCAAGCCTAGCGCTAGCCTCCATCTAGGATGGTCTGATAATTGGCAATGTGGAGCATGGGAGTAATTTAAGAAAAAAAATGAACCACCCGGAGGAAGGCAAGATTCCTGAAGTTACTGTAGTCATATATCAAACACCTGCATGCCCGTGAGGAGCCCAGCTGGATCTTCTACAGTAGCTGGGGCCGTAGACATTTGCCCCCTTAAACATGAAGTTGGAGCTGGTTGTCCAGAGGAAAGGGCAATGAAGTGCAAAAGCTTCAAAAGTTTCAGCTACTGTTTCCTTCTGTCTGGGGTCAACCGCCTTAAAAGTGAGACTCTGGCTAAACGAGCCTAGGAGGCGCGGGAATTTCTGCCAGAACAGAGAGGCTGGGTAATCAGTCACATTAATTTGGGCTAAGCGAAGCATGAATGAGGCCTTTACCATTCATTCCATCTTAATCATATTGTTAGCTAGAATAACAAAACTGACTCTGTAGAAATCCAGTCTAATTTCCTTTTGTTGTAAAGTTAATCCAACCATGTTGTTATTGTGTAGAAGTTCTGTCTTCCTAAAAGATCTTTGACATTGGCTTAACATCTCTTTCATAAGCTTAATTCTCCTGATTGAATAGTGTTTTGGTATTTAGCAGAGATAACTACTCCATATATTTTATGAAAATAAACTTGGAATCATCTGTATACCCTTGAAAAGGGAGACTACCAAACGTGTCCAGGCAGAGTATGATAACTCTGAAATAATAAGGAAGAATCAGATGAGGAAATAATAATATAAATAGTGACCTAGACATTGTCCAAAAGGTAAAATTGCGTGAGAAGTATTAAGGTGTACCTTCCCTAGAGATGAGACAGACAGATACATGTTTATACTCATTTTGTGAGTGAGAGAAAACAAGGCTTTGAGAGGACATTTTAATCACTGTTATTTAAGGCGTATTTCGGCTCAGTAAGGAATTAGATCATATGTATTACCTAAACCTTGACTAACGATGGTTCTTCCTTAAGATGTCTTTAAAATACAGAACCACACCGAAGAAAAGGTTTAGGTCAGTTAATCCAAATTTACCCCAATCTCAACCTCTGATGCTGAGATATTCAAATGAGTTGAAAAATACAATTAAATCCTATTTTCAGGTCTGGCTTTTGAGCATGCCTTGTGCCTTCCACTTAAAATATTGCCTTAAGGTACGCTCACATACTTATACACAAAAGCATGAAAATATGTATACACAGACACAGAGTAAAGTCGCTGGCAGCCAATGCGTTTAACTCTCAGCCAACTGCACTTGTGTGGTGCTTGTCCTTAGTGAACCTTCCTCTGGTATTTCTTTTGTGTTTCAAGCTCGTGTAATATTGAGTTTTCATTGCAAAAGTAATGGGGTTCCATTTGATCTCTGCCAGGGCGGAGAATGGTAGGGGTTTTCCTTTACATCCAAGTCTCAATATAACTGTCTCCGATATTGCCTGAGTCTACCTTGACGTGCTTAAGCACGTGCTCCCGCGCTGCTCCGGGAGGTCTGGGTCTGCCCTTTCCACCCTGGTGCTCCCATCTGCTCCCTGTGATGGTGTCAGTAGCTGCACTACTGCGCGGTATGTTGGGTTCAGGTTGAGGAACACACCGAAAACTAATACAGCAAATGAGTAAGTGGAGGTGAATGCCTGGTCAGACCCGTGAGCTGATCTTACACACCGTGTGGCAGCGGGATCACCAGCCTGGACCCAAGAGCGGCTGTGGGAACATGTAGCCAAGGACCAGCTCATGCGTTTCAGCCACAACATGGTCTTGCACTGGTTTAAGTTGCCTATAACGCTTTTCCTTAGCCCACGTGACTGGATTTATAGAAAAAGAGAAAAATTAGTAGTTTTAAATTCTTCCTTTAAAGATAAATCCCACTGTCTAAACCCAGGAATCAAAGAAGAAGAATAAACCCTTCATTTTAAAAATTCCTTTTTCTTAAAGCTGGTTGCGTGACTTTTTGGCAGGCTGACCTGTAATGTCCAAGGCCCTATGTTCAGTAGCTTTATGGATGAAATGCCCTCTTGGAGTTATCTTCCAGTTAAGTGGCAGATCAGAGTAGTGATTTTCATTTTCATATTTACAGCTGCTCTTTTAGTCCCACTAATTATCTTAATTTAGTACACACCAGCAGAGGTCCTAGCAGTGCTCTTGTCTCTGCGTGTTTTATGACTGGCCATCAGACAGAGCCAAGGTTGCATCTCAGACTTTTGTACCTCCGAGGCACAGACTCCCCTCCTACGCAGGGACTCCCGTCTACGCTTCGGACGTTGTTCTGGCAAGAGAGGAAGCAATTCACCATTTGTCTTTTATTTTCTTGCAGACAGCAGGACCAGATCACCCCCAAATTCAAAGACTTGGGTCTCTGTCAAAAGAAAGTGTCACGGGACTTTCATGCAGCGTGGCATGCCAAGCTTGAAGTTCTTCTGCCCAGCGCCTCCAAATACATATCGTGTGTTGCTCTGGACATCGCTGGCTGTAAGAGCGTAAAATGTCTATGCGATGCTCGGCATCACTAGTGCAATTCTTTCTCCTGTTAATTAACCAAAGCCAGAGAAGGTTAGAAAATGTGTTGTAAGCACATCTCTCTAGCTGCCACCCTGCAGTATCAAGGACAGGAGCGGTTCCAAATCTTCCTTATTTTAGTGGATTTCTGGGCATAAGTGAGGTGCCAGGTCTACTCTGAAAGAAGGTGTCAGTTTTCTCCTAGGCAGAAAGTGGCACCAAGAAAGGACACCCCAAATTCCAGCACCTTTGAAAGCTGGGGAAGTTTGGCTACGTTTTGGCTGACGGCAACCCTGAAGACTCGTTGCCTGGAGGTTCTGGTTGTTATCAGCACAAAATGGTTGTCTCTCTGCCTGCAGGTACCTAGGTGGGCTCATATGGGGCTGTAAATCACCGCTGGGGAAGCGCTTTCCCTGGTCTGTTCTCTCTTGTCTTCGTGTGTCAGAAAATAATTAACAAACATCTGTGGGGGATTCTCGGTAATGGGTTGTCACCACTGTTTTATGGATATAGGAACTGCCTTCCAGGGTAACCCCCAGTCCACACCTAGGTCAGTGTCCTATGTTCGATACTGGCCAATGTCGCTGGGAAAAACGCCCATAAGCTCCATAATAACACGGTGCCCATGCATTTCCCTTGACCTTATGTGCAATGCCTGAGTACCAATAAAACTTTTATCTTTTTCTCCAGTGTGCTGAGGAAAATGAGGACATTTCTGCAGGCTGCATTTTAGGGAATGTGTCCTGAGGATTCTCTAATGCTCCCAAGTTTTCTGTGAGCTACAAAAATATGACATGTTTATAAACACGTTTCAGTTGTAATGCTAATCAGCTGAGGCTGGCAGCCAGCGTTTTGTTGGGAAAGGCTTTCAGTCCTACGGTGCTTTTTAAAGATGTTGTCCCATGTACATCTGTTACTAGGCTTATTGCTTGGGACGTGGTCCTCAAGTACTCCCAGTGTCCTTCACGTGTGGGTGAGGGCCGGTTTCCGACCGGGTGGGCAGAGGGTCCGCGCATCCTCATCTTCGGATACGCCTGGTGGGATTGCAGCCCCGGCTGCCGTGGAAGGGAAAGGCGTGAGGTGTGCCATGCAGGCGGTCTCCAGCCCAGCAGCTCAGTCCTGGTCCCTCCAACCACCTCAAATTGTCCATCAGCTGCTTTAGCAGACGAATGTAAGAACGAGGTCAGATGGCTGCCACATCTCGTGCGCTGGGATTATGCCTGAGGTGCCGCATCTTTTATTATCCTTAGCTGGCATCACGTTTGCCTGGTTGTGTTGCAGAGATGTTTTAAATTTGCTATTTCAAAGTTCCATAAGTGAGACAGTCTTAGCTTCCATACCCTTGTCGTGGTTGTGACTTCTCATTCCTGTTCTCCTGGGAGACTTCAGACTTCGGTTTTCTTCTATTTCAGTTTTAAAGATGGAATCTGGTGGCTGGAGCTGTTTGGTTTTGCTCCTCAGCGCACAGAGTAAGATGACCATTGGGAATTAATTTTCCGCAGCAGCTGTTAGGGGAGCATTGCTCACCTCTGGAGAGATCGTGGCCGCGTGAAGGCCAGCACAGATGACCAGCATCTCCTCACACTGTCCTGGAGCAGTTTCATGAAACAGTGGTGCCCTCCTTTGTCTCTCAGGATAAATCTGACTTTTTCTGACTCATTCTCATTTTACAAGAAGCTGGGGATAGAAACTGTCCTCAAGAGATTTTATTATGAAAATGTAGTTGGGGCTTTGGCTATTTTGTTTAACAGAGCTGTTAACAGATGGAATCAAATGTCCAAAGTTTTTTTAGTTTTGATTGAATGGGCAATGGTACGAGGTTAATTAACTGCCACCTGATTTTTGCAAACAATATTGGAGAACAGGAATTCTGAAACATAAAATTAGTTGCAAAGTTATCAACCTGCAAATGTTTTTAATCAAGTGGCTTTTAATTAATCTGCAACTGTTGCATTGTATTTAAACATGTACTGTGATTGTTAAATTCTAATTAAATAGCGATTGATTACTTAAAATAGAAGAGGGGAAAACAATCTGCTCTGATAACGTCTTACTCGAAGCATAGATTTCTGCTGCCCTCCCTGTGCCCCTGCCAGCACTGGCCCCGTCTGATATCAGTAATATTTTCTGTCGGGAGAAAGACCACTTCTCACTGAGATGTAATTAAGCAGTAAATTAGCGTTGGTCACGTGAACGATGAAAACTCTGGAGCGCTTTGCCAGTGTGCGCAGTGAAAGCTGCTCCTGGCTGGTGGCCGATCCCTCCCCGGGATGGATGCCGGAGGTGCGTGAGATGGGGAACCCTCCTGCGCCCACCCCACCGGGGATGTCCCCGCTCACCTTCCAGGGCCGTGACGGGGACGTGCTTCAGCGGTGAGACGCGTGGCAAACCCTGGGCTGACTTGGTGAGGATGGAAAAACAGCAGAAGCTGGTGCTGTTATCCCGCTGGTCCTTGGTACGTGTCTTTTGACATGTCTTTCTTAGCCAGGCAAGTTAACGGTTAACTTTTAAGGTTTTCTTCTCATTGATCTATTACGAGAAGAGTATGAAAGGCATACAGTGTCTGATACATTATAAACAGGAATAGAGAAACAAGTTATATCAGTAAGAAAGGTATCAGGTGATACAGGGATGTCCAGCAGCAGGATTTTGGAGAGGCAGAGCAAGAGAGGACAGCGAACGGACCTTCCTGTGGATGGGTTAGGGGCAAAGGTTGCTTCCTCTCTGAGTTTTCACTCATAGCTGTTACAGTCACGGGATGCAGGGTCACGGATGTTATTCTGCGTGTTATTCAATCACCAGTCAAGGGAACCCCTCGCAGGAGCTGGTATTGCAGAAGCGCTCTGCTGCTCCCTATTTTGGCAGAGAGACCAGGGACGAGCAAAGGAGGGACTTTTTCATGCTCTGAAAGGCACAGCCTTTCTAGACAGACATGGGAACGCAGAGAAGAGCCAGTTTGCAGGAGCTGATGCTGCACTTGTGTCTCCGTAAGGCATCTCTGAATAAAGAAATACAGCTTCCAGCACTGTCAGTTCAGCACTTTGCCTACCTCAAACACAATGACAGGTGTTGTTTTGAATTAGGGGCAAAGTAGTCATCATCAAAATTACACTTACAATATGACAAGCTTTAGCGTTTACCAAGAGTTATGCATCTTCTGTACTTTTATTGGTATTTAATCTGCAAGGTTGGATCACCTCAGCAGAAAAGTTGACATTGAACTGCTTTCTGGATTCTCTCAAGCACCGTAAAACACAATTATCTTTACTCAAGCTCTCTGCAGATGAGCTAGAAAATGAATTACTCTCAGATATTATCCTTTAAGAAGCTTTTTAAGGGAGAAGAAAACAAGAAGAAAACTACCTGCAAGGAAGGGTAGTTCTCTCTTGTGGGGTGGGAGTACCTTACAATCTTGTAAACGCACTGAAATAGCTCCTGTAACCTAAAAATCCCAGTGAAGACAATTTTTCTTACTCCACCATAGTTACCTGAGGCCAAGCCTATATGTTGTTTAGTTGAGCGTCGCCTCAGTGGTATCCAGGTTAAAAACCCACACCGATCAGGGGGTTGTTTCCGTCAGGTTTTGCACTCAGCCAGCCAGGCAGGATTTGCTTTCCCCACGAGGATGCTCCTTCGCCTCGCTGAGGCTGTGTCGCCCAACGCCAATGCTTCCAGGCTTGAAGCGAGTCCGATCTCTGGCCCTCGGTGGTCACCACGTCTTGGGTCTCCCGAGGGGAAGAGCTCCTCGGGAGCTGTGGCTGTGTCCTTGCCATCAGCTCAGAGGGCAGGGTCTCCATCAAACGGAGGAGCTCTGACGCCTTGAATGTCTTGTGGAAATACCTTGGCTCAAATAAAGGAGGTAGGGAGTAGGCAAAGCAAACAGACTTCGGCGACCTTTTTCTCCTAATCAAGAGGGAAAGCAAATAATTGGGTTTGAAACTGTCACTGTTCAGCAGACCAGCACTTCCACCTTCTGTAAGTGAGACATGGAATTATTTGCTTGATGTATTAGTAATCTTAAAAAGAGATGGGAAAAAAAAAAAAGAGATCCGTAGTTTGCAAATGGCATCAAATCTTTAAGTTAGGAAAGAAAAAAGAAAATATGTAAATGTACAATTTATTATTCATTGGCAATAGCTATTTCCCCTTAGAGCAGGCAGATTGGGAAAAGCAATTAACTAATGGTCTCGTGTTTTGGTGTGTGCGAGGGGGAGCACAACCCATTCAGGTTAGAGCACGCAGTGGAGGCAAAAAGTACTTTTTTCCCTCCTGGATGATGTCTGAGAGCAAGCCCTGAGCCTGCCTCCTGCTGAGGGGCAAAATTCACAGTGGCTTTGTGCTGTGGGGTGGCCTGGCCCTCGCTGGGGGGACGGGACCCAGCCCGGCGTGGCACCAAGCAGCTGTGTCCCCACCGAGGTGATGAGGTCTGGGATCAGTGCGTGCGCTGGTGAGCCGGCCAAGACCTTCACAAGCTGCTGACAGGAATGATTTGAACGATGGATTTACCCCAGGGGACGCTGGATTAATTTGCAGGCAGGATGGAGGGAAAAAGCTAGATGTGACTGCCGACAGATCACAGAAAACCTCTAGCTGATGTGCTTAGTGATTTAAAAATAACAACCCAAGTGCCAGATTGTGTAAGGGACAGAGTGGAAAAAAAATTACATGGGATTACTATTTTTCCTTTCGAGGAATTTGTTGTCCACCCTACCAGAAACATGGCTCCTATTCTGTTTGCCTGTTGTTTAGCAGAGCAGAGAGTGCTCTGAACGGGGCAATAAAAATTAATGAGAGCAGGAAAAGATCTCCAGGAAATACAACAGGAAAAAAACCAGATTTTTTTCAGCTAGAGAGGAGATGAATGCAGAGAGGTGGTGGAAGAATGTACAATAACAGACAGTACAGAGAAATCAAACTGGCCCAACTGAATTTACTTCCAGTACTAGTGTAAGAGAGGATTTTGTAAAATGAATGCATTCATGTAAAATGAACGACTTAAAAGAATGTGTTAGCAATCTTATTGAAAGGAACAAACTCAGTGTATTTCAAAAGCTCTGCATATCCTAAATCATCCAATTATACAACCTTTGCAGTAATCATACGGCCATCACGGTATACCATTTTACAAAACATCACACTGAAATACAGCTTTCTTGTGATGAATACTGGTTTCAGTAAAGAGTAGAGTAGTTTTACAGTCAGAGTAATCTTAATGTTCACCATCTCTTCTTCAAATATATAATTGTGCATTTGTTTGATAGCTCGCTTGGGATGAGCACGCTGCAGATTTTTTTTGTCCTGCCTTGTAAGTGAAAAGAAATAAAACATGGCAGAGAGATTTCGGGTTGAGATGCGGGTGAAATCCAACACTCGCTTCTCAAGAAACAAAGGGGCTTTGTGCGAAGGGCCGTGGGGCGCGCCATTGATCTGCCCAGGCAATGCCGTGGGGTAGGGCTACAGCGCTCGTGTTTCTGTGCCCGATAAGCCGCAGCTATTTCTTCTTGATATTCACAGGAGAAGTCATTTTGATCTCTGCAGTCATAGGGAGGGACCAAGTCTTGCTCCAGACCTGAGGAGCGCTTACTTCGGCATCATCAGAAGGACGGGTCAAATCAGAGGTCCCTCGCCCCTTGTTTTTTGTCTCAGGCGTTTTACTGCCTGTCCCCTCGGTTGTCGTGTGGTTTCCAGTGCCTCTCGGTGCCATTCAGCAAAGCCCATCTCCAATCTGCTTTGTTTTTTCGAGATGACTATGTGGGAAAGCACACGGTGCGGCACGGGTCCTACCTCCTGCTAAACGGAGAGGTCTGCAAAGCTGAGGCTCCCTAGGTTTCCAACTCAACTTATCCAGTGAGTTTTTTTGTGTAAAAGTAAGCAAAATCCACCCCCTTTTCTCCTCTCAGTACCTTCCCAGGCATTTCTCTAGAATTGCTCTGCTGGTCAACTAAAAAAGTGTTTTTATTGTTGCTGCCATAGTGTAATGAGATTTCCCTCTGAGATGTTTTTATGTACTTTTCAGAGTAAAACCGAACTAACTACAGTTTTAACATGGCTTCTTATCAGATTGAAATTGTACAGACTACAGAGATTAATTTTTTTCCCCTCTTTCTTTTTAAATTGGTTTCTGATCTACCATTGCATATAAAACTGCTTACTTGGAACAGTCATTTCTGAAGTGCTGCGTGTTCGATTATTTCCATGTTTGTTTGGTTGTTTTTTTCCTGAAA